CCAAATAAAAAAAAAAAAAAAAAAAGAAACAGGGTCTCACTATGTTGCTTAGGATGGTCTTGAACTCCTGGGCTCAAGCAATCCTGCTTCAGCCTCCCAAAGATTGGGACTAGAGGTGTGAGTCACTGTATATGGCCAGCTCCCTATTTTTAAGACTGGTTTAAACTTGCTTAGACCAGAACATGTATTTGAAGACAACCAGAGGTAGCCATTATTTAAGAACATCAGGGCTGGGTGAGGTGGCTCACACCTGTAATCCCAACACTCTGGGAGGCTGAGGCAGGAAGATCGCTTAAGCTCAGGAGTTCGAGTCTGCTGTGAGTCATGACTGCCACTGAACCCCAATCTGGGTGACAGAGTAAGACCACGCAACTCAAAAAAAAAACAAACACCAGATAGTAGACATATCTTCATCATCTCAGACAGACATACCTTCATCGTCACTAGGGCTCTTTCCCTTTGACTTATCTTTCTCCTTATTCTTCTGCTTCGTCCTCGAGGTGCTAAAATAGTAAGTATTGCCTACAAGAAACAGGGAAAGGGTTTGACAATCAAGCTTTGCAACTGCAGAGGAAACACAGAATAGTGCATTTCTAAATAACCAAAGCAAAACAGAAACCACCTGGATACCTACCTACAACCATATTTAGAAATTTCAGGTAATAAGCATTCCTTCTATCACTCTCAGCATTGTGTTTACTAATTATAGAATAATAAACTATTTCAACTTCTGAAGTTAAATATCTTTGCTATTTAGCTAGGCTGGGCATGGTGGCTCACCCTGTTATCCCAGCACTTTGGGAGGCAGAAGCAAGAGAATCGCGAGCTCAGGGGTTCAAGACCAGCCTGGGCAACTTGGCAAGACCTCATTTCTACAATAAATCAAAAATTCAGGCCAGGCTAGGTGGCTCAGCCTGTAATCCCAGCACTTTAGGAGGCTGAGGTGAGTGGATTGCCTGAGCCGATGGATTCGAGACCTGCCTGGGCAACTATAATAAATAAAAAATTAACTGGGCATGGTAGCACGTGCCTATAGTTCCGGTTATTTGGAAGGCTGAGGTGGAAGGATTGCCGGAGCCCAGGAGGTCGAGGCTGCGATGGCCGGGAGCATGCTATTGCACTCCAGTTCGAGCGACAGAGTGACTTCAACTCAAAAAAAAAAATTAGCCAGGCATGGTGGTGTGTGCCTGCAGTCCCAGCTACTTGGAAGAATGAGGCCAAGGATTGCCTAAGCCCAGCAGGTTGAGGCTGCAGTGGCCGTAAGTGTGTCACTGTACTTTAGTCTAGGCAACAGAGTAAGAACTTAACTCAAAAAATAAATTTTTAAGCCAGGCTCGGTGGCTCAGCCTGTAATCTCAGCACTTTGGGAGGCTGAGATGAGTGGATTGCCTGAGACCACAGGTTCGAGACCCGGCTGGGCAACTTGGTGAGACCTCATCTCTACAATAAAAAAATCAAAAATTAGCTGAGTGTGGTAGTGCGCGCCTGTAGTTCCAGCTACTTGGAAAGCTGAGGCGGAAGGATCGCCGGTGCCCAGCAGGTCGAGGCTGCGGTGGCCGGGAGCGGCCACTGCACTCCAGTCTGGGTGACAGAGTGAGACTCAAACTCAAAAAAATAAAAAATAAAAAAATTTTAAAAAATAAATAAAATTTTAAAAATTAGTGAATATCAAGGAATAAAAATTAGTTATGAATAAAATTTTTTTATTTTTGAAAAAATATCACGAGTTTGTTGGAGAACAACTCCTTCAATATATGAAGTTGCTTTAAATCAATTTAAACAAACAGCACAAGTGGCTTTGGGATAAGCAGGAACAGCAGTAGGCCAACAGCCACCATCACCAAGACGGGCTGACATGAGACTCCTCATACAAAAGGCTTTGTTTCATCAGTCTGGACAAATCAGTGTGTAGAAATGGGAGAGGAGTCTCACAATCATGACCACCACTGCCATTTCTTCATAGAATTCAGAGATGCACAAAAGAAGTGACATGGATGCCACCTGCACACAACCTCAGGGATCAGAGGGCTGAGTCATCCTGCCTGAGTGCTGTGCTGCACACACGTGTAGGTCTCCACAAGAAGCCAGCAGTGGATGCACAACTTGCCAGGTCGCTGCCCATGGGCAGTGGAGGCCACGTGTGGGCACCAGGCTGTCCAATGCAAGCTAGGAGCTGAGATATTTTACTTTCCCCTGCTCCAACCGGCTAAAAAGGGGAATGAAACTACAGATTCAATCCTTAAGATGCTATAATTTGAAGTCAAGAGACAGAAGAATGACACCACATTTTATTAAATGGTGCAACTCCATTTAAGAGCAAATTGCTCTTAGGGTATTTTCAGTTACCTTCTGAATATAAAACATTTGAAGCTACTTTGTAGATCCTCACGAAACATTCCTGGAACTGGTTACATAACATAAAAAGTCTTTTTCTTTTTTTTTTGAGTTGGAGTCTCACTCGGTCACCCAGACTGGAGTGCAGTAGCTGCTGCCGGCCACCGCAGCCTCGCCTGCGGGGCTCCGGTGATCCTTCTGCCTCAGCCTTCTGAGTAGCCGGAATTACAGGCATGCGTTACCACGCCCGACTGATTTTTTGATTTATTATAGAGATGAGGTCTCGCTGCCCAGGCGGGTCTCAAACCCGCGGGCTCAGGCAATCCACTCACCTCAGCCTCCATAGGCGTGGGATGACAGGCTGAGCCGCCGAGCCCGGCTGACTTTCCTATTTTTTGCAGAGCCGATGCCTTGCTGTGTTGCTTAGGTTGGTCTTGAACTGCTGGGCTCGAGCAGTCCTCCAGCCTCAGCCTTGCAAAGTACATGAACCACTATGCCCGGCCCGGCCTGCAGGTCTGTAAGACAGATGCCGCCTAGTGCGTTCTTGGAAACTTCTCCAGCAATCCAGGACGGTTTATACTCACTGGGTTTTGCCAGCCTGAACCCAAGTTGCACATACTGGTAATGTCAGGGGAGCTTGGTGTTCTCTTGGGACTTCAGTTTCCAGAGACACCAGGAAGCGGGGAGGAGGAGCAGGCTGTCATCTGATGACATCTTAGAGAACTCGCAACAGGAAAAACGAGACTCGTTTTATAAAGGATCATTTGAACAATATGGTCAAGTTTGCATAAAGAGAATTGCTTTGTGTGTTTCATGAAGAAGGTGCTCAGAAAGGCCAAGTGGGCTTCTCCCACCCGAAAGACAAGCCTAGATCTTTCCTCCGATTTCAGTTTTCCATCACACACACACCAGGCCTTTAACTTCTGCCGCTCAGGAAAATTAAGTCCACTTATCCTGGTTACATCTACCGATTTAAAAGAAATAAAAACGGGCTGGGCTCGGTGGCTCATGCCCATAATTCCAGCCCTTTGGGAAGCTGAGGTGAGAGAATTGCCTGAGCCCAAGGGTTTGAGACCAACCACTGGCAACCTCATCTCTACAATAAATGAAATAATCAGCCAGGTGTGGTGGTGTGTGCCTGTAGTTGCAGCTACATGGAAGGCTAAAGCGGGAGGATCACCTGAGCCCAGCTGGAGGCTGTGGTAGCTGTGAGCATGCTACTGCCCTCCAGCCTGAGCAACAGAGCGAGACTCAAACTCAAACTCAAAAAAAAAAAAAAAAAGGAACATGAGTGAACTAGGGATTCAGGGAGCATCTTACACATATGAACTCACAACAATTTATCAGGAGGCAGAGAGACCAGCTGAAAGGCTGCAGGACTGTGACGCAGGGCGATGCGACCAGGGTAGGGGTGGTGGCCGTGGGTGAGGAACAGGAGGATGTGACAGACGCCGGTCTAGGTGAGTGCCTGGAACACTGCCTGAAGGTGCTTGCAGTGGGCTCTCCTAGCCGCAGAGGGAGTCTGGAAGCCGTCCACTCTCTAAGCGGAGGTTCAGCTGGGGACGGCCGGCACCCCCCTCAGGCCAGGGAACGCGGTCGCCAGGTAGTGCTGCCTAGATGACCGCCCTGCCTAGAAGGCGTGTTCTGAACCAGGGAATGTGTTCCTCCAGGCCAGGCGAACACCCTTCCCGAGGG